ATAGAGGAAAATAGGAACAACCCCAGTCTTTTCAGCACTGTAGCCAGGCTGACAGAGACTCGCAGCTCTATTGTGTAAGTATTCCCATAGCTCTCATTAGTTACGACTTCATGAGCTTCATTAATGATAAAATTCTAACTATTAGAAACAAAATTCACCAAGACCTGCCCTCAACTGGCACCAAATTATCTCTAAACTCAGGAACCTTAGAAACAGCTGTAGAAACAGATATATGTTTAGACTGTTTTGCTTCCCTCAATCTTTACCAACTAACTTCAATAATTTCTTCATCTAAACCATCAACCTGCCTCTTAGACCCCATCCCGACTAGGTTGCTTAAAGATGTTTTACCCTTAGTCAGCACTTCTATACTAGATATGATCAATCTATCTATATCAACAGGCTATGTACCACAGTACTTTAAAGTAGCTGTAATTAAACCTCTTCTGAAAAAGCCCAAACTTGATCCTGATGTTTTAGCCAACTATAGACCTATATCTAACCTTCCATTTCTCTCTGTGCTGTGTGATGTTCTACAGAGCAATAGTTTATTTGAGGATTTTCAGTCAGGATTTAGAGCTCATCATAGCACAGAGACAGCACTGGTGAAAATTACTAACGACCTCCTTATTGCATCAGACAAAGGACTTGTCTCTGTACTGGTTTTACTAGATCTTAGTGCTGCATTTGATACCATTGACCATCAGATCCTATTGCAGAGACTGGAATATTTCATTGATATTAAAGGAACCGCTCATGCATGCCAAAGTTAGTCATGGAGTTCCTCAAGGATCTGTCCTCGGACCAATCCTTTTCACTTTATATATGCTTCCTTTAGGCAATATTATCAGGAAATATTCCATAAACTTTCATTGTTATGCAGATGATACTCAGTTATATCTATCGATCGAGCCAGATGAAACTCATCAGTTAGCTAAACTTCAATTGTGCCTTCAGGATGTTAAAACCTGGATGACCTGTAATTTTCTAATGTTAAACTCAGATAAAACTGAAGTTATTGCTCTGGGGCCCAAGCACCTCCGTGACGCATTATCTAAAAATATAGTTTGCCATGATGGTATCGCCCTGGCGTCCAGCACCACTGTGAGAAATCTTGGAGTTATCTTTAATCAGGACATGTCGTTTAAGTCTCACATTAAGCAAATTTCAAGGACCGCCTTTTTTCACCTACATAATATTGTGCAATAAGGAACATCCTGTCTAAAAATGATGCAGAAAAACTAGTCCATGCGTTTGTTACTTCTAGGCTGGATTACTGCAATTCCTTATTATCAGGCTGCTCGAAAAAGTCCATTAAGACTCTTCAGCTGATCCAGAATGCTGCAGCACGTGTTCTGACAGGAACCAGGAAAAGAGATCACATTTCTCCTGTTTTAGCTTCTTTGCATTGGCTTCCAGTAAAATCCAGAATAGAATTTAAAATCATTCTTCTTACCTACAAAGCTCTTAATGGTCAGGCACCATCTTATCTTAAAGAGCTCATAGTACCTTACTACCCCACCAGAGCACTGCGCTCCCAGAATGCAGGGTTACTTGTGGTTCCTAGAGTCTCCAAAAAGTAGACTAGGAGCCAGAGCATTCAGCTATCAAGCTCCTCTCCTGTGGAACCAGGTTCCAGTTTGGGTTCAGGAGGCAGACACCATCTCCACTTTTAAGAGTAGGCTTAAGACTTTCCTCTTTGATAAAGCTTATAGTTAGGGCTGGCTCAGGTGAGTCCTGAACCATCCCTTAGTTATGCTGCTATAGGCCTATACTGCCGGGGGATTTCCCATGATGCACTGAGCTCCTCTCTCCTCTACTTTCTCTCCCTCTGTATGCAACCTCATCCCATTATTGCATGTTACTAACACAACTTCTCCCCTTTCTGGTAGTCTTGTGCTTTCTCGTCCCTCTCCTCTCTCCTCCTATCACTTCTTGCAGGTGTTTCTGGCTCTGGAGCTGTGGAGTCTGGATCTGTGGTTGCGGGTCACCTGCTGCCCCCGTGTTCCTGCTCGACACCCTCTGCTACAACAACTATTGTTACTAGTCCTATTGTTATTATTGTTATTATGATCATTAACATTACGATTGTTATCATTAACACTACTATAAATATCTGTACCATTTTTCATTTAGTCTATAGCAACATCACCTTTACTGTCTGTACGTCTGTGTGTATATTGTGTAGGCTCTCTCTCTCACTCTCTCTCAAGGAAGTTTTTCCTTGCCTCTGTCGCCTAGTGCTGCTCTTGGTGGGAATTGTTGGGCTTCTTTAAATAACATCAGAGTATGGTCTAGACCTGCTCTTTTATGAAAAGCGCTGTGAGATAACTGTGTAGTGATTTGGCGCTATATAAATAAAATTGAATTGAACTGGCGACCTGTCCAGGGTGTACCCCGCCTATCGCCCGATGTCAGCTGGGATTGGCTTCAGCCCCCCCGCAACCCTGTACGCAGGATAAGTGGTTGACGATGGATGGATGGATGGATGGATGAATTGAATTGAATAGAATAGATGTTAAAGCAATTGGCCTATAGCTTGTAGGTTTTGTCGGATCCTTCCCTGGTTTCCTAATTGGGACTACCACTGCTTCCTTCCAACTCTTTGGAAGCTGCCCTTCTTCCCACACTCTGTTGTATAGCCTAAGCAGTCTTCCTAAAGCTACCTCCCCCCTATATACAAAAACATAACATAACCTGTTCTTGCAATCTGCCTTAGATAATGGAGCACTCAGTGCATCATCCACTTCCTCCCTTTTTTCCAAGACCCCAGGATACGCCTTCAATGTCATTTCCCTTTGTTTCTTCCACTCACCTTCCAGGTTGTCAGAGCTATGTATTGCCACAAAGGTTTTAGCCATTATCTTTGCCTTCTCTTTGTCAGTGACTGCCTTCTCCTCCCCACTAACCAGTACAGGTTAGTCCCACTCCCTCCTTATTCCACTCAGCTTCTTAATCATCCCCCACACTTCTCCCACCGGTGTCATTCTTCCTATTGAGCTGCAGAACCCGCGCCAATATTTCCTCTTTGCATGGCGTATCGTCTTTCTTACAACTGCTTGAGTCCTTTTATATTGGAGTAAATGCTCAAAATTATGAGTACGTCTCAACAACCTGAAAGCCCTGTTTCTACTTCTTATTACTTGCATTACTACCGTGCATTCTTGTGTCCACCATGGAACCACTTTCCTTCTCCTTATCCCAGAACTCTTAGGAATAGTTTCATCCACCACTTCTTTAATAATTTTTTGGAAAGTACTATAATCTCTGTCAGTCTCCATATCTCTACCCTCCCTAGCTAACCTTTCCTCACATAACTCCTTGAATTTGCCCCAATTAGCCTTACTAAAGACCCATCTCCCTCTTCCCTCTCCAGACTGTTTTTCCACCCTCATTCTAATTGTGCATAACATAGGAAAATGATCACTCCCTACTGTCGACTCCTCCCATTGATTGTAGAAGTTGATTATCACTACATTCTCCATTCCTACCCACACCTCCACCACCACATACTCCAGCTCCTTCCCTAATCCCAGAATCCTATATGGCATCCCCTGTTTAATAAATGTAGCACATCCTCCCCCACCTCCAGTGCTTCTATCTCGACAGACATCCACATAACCCTGTATCACAAAATCCAGATTTGGCCTTAGCCAGGTCTCTTGAATACAAATAACATCTGGCTTCTGCACCATTTCATCAATAACTCGTTTAAACTCTTGTCCATTTGCAACCTGCCTTTGGGCATTCCAATGTATTAATAACAACATGATATATATTAACCAACCCATGATTCCTGGCTAGACTGATGTTTGAGATCATCTCTCACTGTTTCCCATGTCAGCCATGTTACACCCAAATGCCGTACTGCTGCCATCACTATCAGCTGTATTCTTTCTGTCTTTGACTTTACATCTGCAGTACCATTAATCACATCAGCAATAAATGTCACTAACTTTCTGACATCCACTTGTATCATATTTCCCTCATTCTGCTTCACTTGCCTTGCTTCATGTCTTACATTATCCTCAATGCTACCCCCTGCTGTCTGGTTCTGAACCTTTTTAACCGCTTCTGCGTATGACACTTTCTGTCCCACTCTCACTTGTTGCTCTTGCACCTCTTCCTTCATCATTGCGCACCCTCCTTAAGCCACGCTATGTGCACCCCCACAATTACAACATTTAGGTGGGACACCTTACCTTCTATTCCCACAATATTGAATTGAAAATTACCAGCAGATATACTTAGGAAAACAGAAATGTGAGTGACTCTCCCTCAGAGTGCATTGCTAAAGAACACCTCTGCAACGCTCCTCCAGTGGAACTGCTCAGTGTCTGGTTGGATCAGACTGGCTGTACTTGACGGCTCCCACTGTGAATGTGTCAGACTGTAGTAGACACTAGTATTAGACAGCATGAGTGCTTAGAGAACATCCATATTGAGAGTGACGGAAAAACACACTTGTCCTAATCCCTTGCCATTTATTTTTTTTTAGTGCTGGTTAACTATTGCAAAATATCGCAATTAATCACATGATTTTCTGTGATTTGGTATTCAGAGCCAGTGAGCAACAGACTTTCAAAATAGTATAATAATAAAAACTGCATTAACATGCAATAAAATAATTACCTTCCATCCATCGTCAAACAAACTTATCCTGCATACAGTGTTGCGGGGGGCTGGAGCCAATCCCAGCTGACGAATAGTGGGGTACACCCTGGACAGGTCGCCAACCCATCGCAAGGATGATAAAAATAATTGTTGGAGTTAATTAATTAATGTGTTAATGCGATAGTAATGCGTGCACAGCCCTAATATTTTTGTTTTTATTAAACTAGACTTCCTGTCCTGCCCTGTGGGATGGCAGTGAGAATCCCTTTACCCACAGGATTCTCAAAAATATGTCAGCCTCTACTTCCATGTACGTCTGTAAAGTTTTAAAAACGGGAAAACTGTGAATCTAATACTAAAACATTGTTTTTCAGTTAAATCCTCACCTTTGATCAACAGAGGTAAGTCCATCTCTAAAGGTTGGCTGAAGCACAGATGAGTCACTCCTCATGGACACAACGCTGGCTTCCGGTTTTTCCAGCTTCCTCCTGATTGAAACGCATAAAAATGGGATATAATGTGCTGCACTCAGAAGACTGTAAAACTATGGAGAAATTTGACAGTTTGCTTTTGTTTTTTATCTATCTCTGGACAACCGTGCCGCCCACTCTATCCAGCAGAACTGAGTTTTCCACCACTGAAAACAAAACTTTTCTTAAACTTTGGGTAGGTTATGTATTTCAGAAGCAGTATTTGTAAAAATTAGCTTTGCATGCCGACAGCAATCAATCTGTTATATGCATAACAAACTATTAAAACATGAATTTGTCCTAAATTATTAACAGCTGACCTCTTTGCTGCAGTGGGATGTCGTCCTTGAAAATCAATGAAGCGATTATTTGACCGCTCACTCTTAAAGGACACACAGCTGGATCCAGGTCCAGCACAGGCTAGGCTCTCATGGATCCTGTTAGACAGAAAGGAAGACTTTTAGTCTCCAGCCACAGAAGCTGCTGGAGAAACTAGCAGCTATCAAGAAAAGGATTAAAGTTCAATAAAATTGGAAGCTGAATGATTTCAGTCTGTGTATTATCGGTTCATTTCCATCAAATATTGGACCAAACCAGGACTAAATGTACTGATCTCTGAACAGATCTTACTGTTACTGACAGATAAAAAAACTTAACTTAAAAGAAGCGCCGAATGCAAAATAGGTTAGTAACCTGAGGTTAGTAAACATGTTTTGCTCAGCATTGGCCATTTAACGTAAGCTTTCTTCTTGCTTTAGCTACGACCTACAGAAGGTAAAGTCCGACTGTTTTTTGTTATGAAAAGATGAATGAGCGTTTGTTTGCTTGCCAAACTTGTGGTGGAGACTTGACTTGGACGCTCAAAGACTAGTGAGCATTTCTGAGGGACAGACTGGAAAACATGTGGACCTGTCCTTTAATCCTAATCTGGCTCTGACCTTCATCATCATTCTAGGAGAACATGGACATTAGAAGGACAACTGGTCAGACTGGATTTAATGAGGACAAACATCAGCAGGGAGCAACATGAGGAGGGAGACATGAACATTTAGCTCTGTTTGGCCAACACTGTTTAATACTGACACATACTCACTGTCTGTCAGACACATGTCCTCGCTTAAACTCAATGGGGCGATTCACTGACTGGTCACTGTTGAAGGACACACAGCTGGGCTCAGGTCCAGGTTCAGGTCCAGGTCCAGCAGAGTCTGGTCCCTGCTGCTGCTCTGGGCTTCAACACAACACACACAGAGCTTTGAGAGTGAATAATGATGGTGGAGTGATTTGAGTCCTGGACAGTTAGAGATCCTCATCTCACCTCTGAGCTTTGGTCTGGCTGTCATGTTCCCCACACAGAGTGCTTTTAGAGGGAGGGACTCCCTCCTCTCTGTCCTCACACTGACTCATGCTGCTCAACTCACATCCACTTTCACCTGGAGAGGAAACACAAATCATTCATCTGCACATCAACTCAAATCCTCCTTTCCATCATTTCTCCTGGAAAAAGATCAGCTGCTCCTCCATTGATTGGCTGCTAGTTTCTGTTTCATATCAGTGGCAGCTGAATGCAGTCAGACAGCAGCGTGAGGCAGAGGAAGCTGCCATCAGCTGACTTCTATTATCAGTCCACTAGATGGAGGCATGAAGCTGCAGCCCAGCACACACACCATGCATGGAGGAGCGACTACATTCACTGACTCACTGATATGAAACATGAGCAAACTCTAAAAATGCACTCCAGGAAGTGTATGAGGTCATCAGGAGTCACATGACAAAACAACCAGATGGTGTTTTTATTGAAGCTGCTGATTTGAATCAAACAGGTCTCTAAGTTGTTTTACCTGAACTCCAGCAGCATCCCCACCCCCACCAAAGACAGAAGAAGCTTTCCTTTCAGGTCAGCCAGGAAACGTCAGTATCCTGCTGTGTCTGACTTTACGTTGGTTTTCTTCTAGCTGAAGAAAGGAAAGAAACATCAGCTGCTCATTAGAAGTTTGATTCCAGTAAATCAATAATCCAACAACATGGAGATTTCTCTTCAAACACAAGAGTTCTCCAAACTCTCTACTGAAATAAGAAGTGAACAACTACTACAAACATTAGACAGCAAGAAACAAATCCTGAAGGGACTAAAGACAAACTTGGTGTTAAACTATCAAACAAAGCAATTTACAGTTTCTTCAAAGTGTTGAAGAAGAAGACTCTCACTGGACGCTTGCAGAGAAAAGGCATCCACACAGGTGAGCTGTTTCCTGGAATGGAAGCCGGACAGGCAGGAAGCAGCAAGAGCAGATTTTCACAATAAGAGGACATTTAGCTGTGCTGTTATTCTCAAACACAGGCTCTTGTATGGAGATTGTCAGGAATCATTCATCATTTGAAGAAATGTAGAGATCATACCTCTGTTGATGGAGATCCTAACTTTGATCTGCGTTTCTTATGAAGCAGGTAAGTTGCTCAGCAGCAGCAGACCCACGGGCTTCTGAGGGGATGTGAGATTCAGCATTCATCTGATTAAAAGCTGATTCTTGAAGGAATGCATTTTCACATTTCCTGTTTCAATAGCTGTTCAAAGAGTCTAAACACACTACAATAATTCATATTAAGGTGAGAAAACAAGAAACCACTTTACACTATGGACCACATCCACAACTCTCTCCCTGCTCCCCTCTTTCCCTCCTCCTCATCCAACAGCAACTGGCAGCAAACAGAGACCTGAAAACTGGTTTTCCTTCATTCCACAGCTGACAACAAGTTAAACCTTTAGTTGGAGCAGAGAGAGACTTGGTTTGTTGGCTCTACTTCAGTTTTGACCTCAGTTGTTTTTACAGTGAAGGTGACTCAAAGTACACAAGGAGCCAGTGAGAATGACTAGGCTTACAGGCTTTCATGGAGACAACTGGCATGATGCCAAATAAGACCCAGAGACGCCTGAAGACAAAACAAGCTTCCGTAGCCAGAACACATATGGAGTACTTCAAGTGACCATATAAAAACTAATGCCATGATTTTTGCCATCTGAAAAGCTAAAATTTGCTGATTTTACTTTAGAAAAGAACAAAAGCTGCATTTAAGCAGTCAGCAAAGAAGAGAAGCAGCGCTGGAGAAAGCTAAAGTCTACTTCCTGCTTTCTTACAGTGCAGACGCTTTGCTGCTTGCTCTTGCCTCTCCTTGTATTCTTTTGCTTAAACTCTCTTTTTTCCCCCTGCTAGAAGTCAGCAGCTCTTCGATACTTTTAAATCACTGGGACTGTCAGATAAAGAAGGCTCTTGCCATACTTTAAAAACTTTTATGATCTTAGTGCTATGCGAGTGTTGCCTATCAATAGCTGTACTGCAGTGACTGGAGCTATAGCTAATGCTAATTAGCAACAAGATGCCCCCCTTCTCCACGGACGACTTCTACAAACTTCTACAGAAAATGACTGTGCTGGAAACCAAGATCCACAGGTTAGAAGTGAATGGACTATGTGGGAATGACACCACTTTACGGTGGACCCAAAACAGTGGACAAGAGCATGCTAACACACGGCTAATTAGCACCAACAAGAATACCAAGAAGCAGGAGGCCTGTGTACTGGGTAATAAATCTGAAAGTGGGAGTCCTCACTGAAACGCTCTTGGTGCAAAGCCTCAGAGTAAATCATTTCCTGGGGAAATGGGAGGACGAGTAACAGGCAGAACCCAGCGCCCTGAGATTTGTGATGCGACTGGCTGGCCTGCATTATCATCCAGGCAGAGCGCCTCTTCAACCCCTGTTCTTGGAGGACACAGCCGTTGACAGCTGCAAAAGGGAGAGTTAGCAACAAACCTCCCCAGCAACCAAGTGTGCAACAGCAGAACAGATTTTCACCACTATTGCAGGACCCTGGATCTCCGTCTGATGACCTGGATAACCTCCCGTCCTCACACAGAAGGGTAAGGACTGAGAGTAAAATCAGAAAGTAAAAGGCTGCAGGGAAAGCTAACGACTGGGCCTCAAACTCTGATTGTGGGTGACTCTGCTGTAAACGATGTAAGAAGCATGTGCAGTAAGAACTACAATATACTCTGCTTTCCGAAGGATACGGTGTCTGACTTGGCAGAAATAATCCTGCATATCGTGGCTGAACATCCTGCTGTGAAAAACATCATATTCGGGACCAATGATGTTGTGAAGCAACAGTCTGAATCTGTTGAACACAGTCGGCTCTTTGAATGCTGAAGTGTTTATCAGTGGCCCTATACCGCCAATCCGAAGAGGAGCTGAGAGATTCAGCAGACTGATGGCATTGAACAAGTGGCTCTCAACGGCATGTACTGTCCATTCAGTGCATTTCATCAAAAAACTTTTACTTTCTGTGGGACCGCAGACATCTTTTTAAGGCAGATGGACTTCGCCTTAACAAGTCAGGAGTAAAACCTGTCAGAAGTAAAACCTGTTTTACTTTCTGCGTCACTCATCTGTTCCCTCTGCCAAGGACAAGAGACAAGAGGAATCAAAACAAGAAGAAGACATAACACAACACACCAGAAACCTTGAAGGAGAGCCACCCCAGCCCCTGCTGGAAGAGAGCTCTGATCACAGGAGACATCTGAGCCAAGAGGAAGAGCCTCCACCTCTCTCACTGAAAACCAACAGTGAGGATTCAACATCTCAACCCCCCCCCCAATCCCCATCTCCAGACACACTTTCTCCCCTCTCCCTGCTGTTGGAGCTGGGACCAAATTTACTCCCCGCACCTTCCCTCGCTCCACTCCCATTTTCTCTACCCTAAACCCCCCTCACCGTCCACCTCCACCACTGGTTCTAAGTCCTCCAGGTTTGACAGGTGTCACAAATACAGCACACAACCCGCTCCGCAATGGCGAAAAAAGCCCAGTAAGCTCTGTCTGATATGTGCTGGGTCCAGGCTACAAGGAAAATAGCACTCATGACTCTTCCCAGGACAAGCCGGGGCCCAGTGTGCTGGTAGTCTTCTCCATCCCTGTCTTGATAGGTAACAGAAAAAGCATGGTGTATGTGTTAAAAAACTGGAAGCACTCAAAACATTGTAGTATCCAATACTTGCATTTGACTCATAACAGTTCAAAATAGCACTGTAGCAGCAAGACAGAGGGTCAGTGACCTTTTGGAGAGGTGTTCTACGGGGAGAGCAGTGATTGGTGGTTATGTAGCTTGAAGGGACTGAACCCTTCTATAGAATTTGACCTCTAACCCCTTGTTTTGTTACCTCAAAATAGTACTGTACCCTTCTATGGGTTTGACCTTTTACTTTGCAGACTTCTTCTATGGTACCTAACAGCTACCCAAACATATCCTATATAAGCTGTGTTTGATGTACAGAGAGACAGAGTGGCCATCGGGCTGGGTCACTCTCCAAGCTGCTGCAGAGCTTGTAATTGATGCTGAACTCTTTGATTTAATAAACTTTTATGATCAAGAACAGTGTCAAGCAGATTTCTTCTCAACACATCATCGCAGCTTTATTGTTCGGACACCACAGAAATTGGCACCCCAGATAGGACCGTGTTGTGCCTAAATTCATCGTTCCATCACGGGCTACATCGAGCTGACTCCCGCTGCAGAAGCTAGCATATATGGTGAGTTTTCTGATAAACTGTGGGCGCCGGTCAGTTTGTGTGTCTGTGTGTGCGTTACAGGGTACACCGGTTCGCAATAAGGGGTGTGTGTGAAAATAATGAAGAAAGATAGATAGATATAAAAGGTAGAAAAAGGAATAGCCTACGAGTAACGGAAAAGTTTAAACTTTGCAAAAATTAAGAATATGGGCCCTCAGATTCTTATAAACGGAAGTCATGTGGGATGGAAACTACTGTCGCGCGGAACTAGGCTTTAAAGAATAGTCAAATTGGATTAAGGGAAAAAGAGAGTGTAACCCTGGCCAGGGTCATTTGGTTTGAATAAAATTATTAAAATTAAAATTAAGTATATTATAAGGATTAGGACGCCGCAGATCAGGACAAAAGAATTGTAATTGCAATTGATGGACATTGATTTTCAATATGTCCCAGAAACAGCAGGGCCTATTTCAGTGGAATGTGAAACCACAGAGGTCACCAAGGGCTGCACCTCTGTTACAGGAGAAGCCAGTGTTCCAATTAGACAAAACAGCCCCAGACCAGTTCGGAAAAGTGTCCAACCAAAACGTTACGAAAACTAGGATTGAAGTACCTCTAGGGGAGTCAGCTAAGCTCCCATGTCAGTGTATGAGAGAAAATAGTGGTGAAGGGAATTTTAGAGTTCAGTGGGAAGATAGCCATGGCAGAGTTTTAGATTTGGTAGGAGCATTAACATCAAGAAAGTATGCGTTGCTGAATGATATGAGAAGACTGGAGATGGAAGGTGATTGCAGTCTTTATGTGTATCATTTCCAGCAGGAGGATCAAGGGGATTATAAATGTACGTTTTATAAGCCACAGTTTGAAAGCGAGGGATTAGAGCCGGGACTTGGAGGTCATGTAGTGACCCTGGTGGTGACAGATGTGAATAACAGTAAAGAGATCCAAGATGTAAAAAAAAAATAGGAAAATCAACAACAGTAACATCAACACTTCAGCCTAATGCAAGAGCAGTAAGAAGCAGTTCTACTCTTGTGTCAACA